TGGGGGATCCAGTGGGGGCGGCAGTCATATTTCAGGGTGACCGTGCCACTCTTTATCACAACCCTGCTAAAAGTGCCAGTACGTGCGTTCATTGGCGCCCCTTCAGCTGGTGGCGCCCTAGGCGACCGCCTAGCTCGCCTATGCCTAGAAACGGCCCTGCCTGCAGGATCATATCAGGGAATGTGCAGAAAACCAGGTGCCACTGAAATAATATTATGCATTCTGTAGAACTTTTCAAGAAAACTTTATAGGGCCTTGAGAGCATAAAAATTAATTCACCTCCTCATAGTACTGGAAATAATGCTGTAATCACTTATCGAAAGAGGAAAAAGAGACAGACAGAGAAAATGATGGTTTTCTTTAGAGATGCAGAATCATCCGGAAACTCCCAGAATGAGGCACTCTGACTAATTTATCTAATGAATAGAAAATAACTGTTTTGGGTTTATTGCATGCTGACTGACGCATACAAACAGAGACATCTTAGATTCGCTCTCTCAATGTTGTTTTCATTCCTGATTTTCTCTGACAGGCGTGTTTCACGATTTCACTATAGAACCGAAGATTAATGTGTAATTATCCATTTGAAGGGTGCTCATTTCCCTTCAAGAGACACAGGAATAGAGCACTTTAAAATTGTAAAAGCTTTTATTTTATCGCCATATGCATATGAACAGGATTTAAAGATGGCCCCTTGACAGGAACGATATTTCCTGCAGGTTGGGTTTGCTTCAGAAGTCTCAGCTAAATTAGAAACGCATGCAGTCGTTCTGTCAGTAACATATCTGAGATTAACACACAGGAAGAGAAAGAAACCCTCCTGAGAACTGAAAAACTAACATCACAGCAGCCATTTTAACAGCTGCATTAAAGGAGACAACTTCATTAAATTAGTAGAGAGTTTTACTTAAAGAGATTTAATTTAGGTGATTTATATTATCTGTTTAAATCTTTATATATTATCTATTAAAATCATACCATAACAGCTTCCTGCTTCTACTAAATACTGAGCATTTTTCAGTTTTTCTTTTTTAATAAATCTGCAAAGATGTCAACAATTCTGTGTTTTTCTGTCAATATGGGGTGCTGTGTGTACATTAATGAGGAAAAAAAATTAACTTAAATGATTTTAGCAAATGGCTGCAATATAACAAAGAGTGAAAAATTTAAGGGGGTCTGAATACTTTCCGTACCCACTGTATATAGACGCGTGTGTACATAAAATCTAATTTTAATGACCAAACATGTTTTTTTTAAGTCAAAAATATGAGTACAGTATCGACATAAAATACAAGCATACGTATTATTGCATATAGGGTGGTATATATTGTATACGGCCTACACTTAGAAATTAGTATGTGAACATGCAACAGAAATCCTATGTAATCCAATCCAATATTCATCAAAATGCTTTAACTTTAAGCTGTCAACAAAAGAAATAAAATTTGTGGCTCATATTACTTCTAACATTCTAAAAGGAAGTTGCATTGCATTGTGGGATACAGTACTCCATGCTCTGCTGTATGCTACACATTTTGTAAAATATAGTAAGTCATCTGTGCATTTAATGCATACAAAGAAAATAATATACAATGGAGCATCCATAGTTCACACTGCAGAAACAGTACAAGTAGCATGTTAGCATGCTATTGCTAACATTAGCTGCTATTTTTGTCCTCGTGAATGTACTTGAAAGGGAAATCACACTGAATTTCATCTTTTAATTCACTTTTCTAATCATTTGGGTGTCGTAGAGGGTATGTGAGTGCAATTTTAATATATTAATTATCTCCAAAGTTCCTGTACCTGAGGCTAGCATGTTGCATAATTATTGACCGTGTGTAGCTGTACCTGCGCTGTAAGCTACACGCTCAGCACTTTAAAATGTCAAACATGCTAGAGGAGATGTGTGAACAATGTTTAACAGCCCTCTGGTCAGTGACACACGCATGTTAATTATGTTAATATTATGTTAATGTGTGACTAAGATGAATGAACGGGTGTAAAGAGGCCAGATCTGATGGAGGAGAGCAGGACAGTGTGCATATTAAACCAGTGTAGTTGTTTTAACATTATAAAATTACACATTTATCACCTTTAAAGCCAATTATAAATCTCAGGTCAAACTACAACCATCCTGGAAGCAGTTTGAGGAACTTCTAGACTTTTTTCGGAACATTAGCACAAGGCAATTCAGTTCCTTAAGTACTTTTGAGACATGTTTTAAAGAGTTTAATAACTCCATTGAATTGAAGTACATTTTACACTTGATAGCAATATTTCTGTTCTCATTCAACTGAAAGTGCTTTAGCGTTTGCCGTGATTCTGATAGGTCTGTCGGATCGCTATGAGACACAAGATGAATTCGCACAGCACCTTTTTACTGATCCGTTTCCATTCTCTAGTTGAGCTCTAAAGAGGCTTCATTTTTCTTTGGTCCAACCTGCTAATGAATGTCTCATCTGAGATTAACACACAGGAAGAG